GTGCAAGGTTGAATGCGATGAAGAGTGCACGAGTGTGAAGCCGTGTGTGAACTGTGGATCATTGCAGTGATATCAGAGCAGGATCTCGTTGTCTTCCAGTGCGCATGGTCGATTATGCAACGTAGCAGACCGAAGTGAGAATAAGGCTGGCAGGTGATCACAAAAAAAAAGAAAAAATCAGTGGTTGAGTGGTAGCAGCGAGTTTGGTGGGGAGAAGTGAGAAGGGCAAGGGAAGAGGAGCTTGCCTGCAGCATGGTGCGCCGAGCAAACATGGAGATCATCATCAAGCTATTGGAGTGCAGGTGCTTCTGACCCTAGAGTTGCATGTGCTGCGTGTGTCTTGCTTCGCTGTCTGGAAGTTGTCGGTTCTTTCGAGGAGCTTGAGCTGCTTTCAACATTTCTTGTTGACATCAATCAGGTTTAGGTCGGTCAAACTAGGTTATATGAAGTAGAGAGGTACGCTGGACCCGCTTTCCAGCAGGTGATGCTCCCCACCAATAAATGGAGCAATCTTAAAAATAAAAAAATAAAAAAAATAAAAAAAGGTTGACTCTGTGGAGAAACCCTAAAACGCAGTAACTACACAGGCAGAGTGGCAAGCATTCGTTAAAAAACCCGGCTAGCCTCGAGGACTACCTTCTTCCCCCGAAGACAATGTATGGTCATAATAGTTCTGGCTAGATTGAAAGATGGCCCAAATACAGCTATAATGACCGTATGCTGTATTCGGGGGAAGAAGGTAGTACTGACCAGCATGCAGTCAAATATTTGAGACACAGACTAAAGGTGGCAGAAACAAGTTCACAAGTTCATAACTAGTGAAGGTTGCAGAGATCGTAGGGCCCGGTTATAGACCGGCTGGACAACTCTTCCAAGCCTTGTCATCCTGTTTGCAACATTAAATTATTCCTGAGGACTTTGCGACCTGTCCTTTAATTGCTCGTTGGCTGGCTTTGGATTGTCATAGACTGTTGGGAATAGTAGAGTGTAGACGATGATAGTAACGTTCAACAACCCTCTACAAACTAAGGTTATAGTACCTATGTTGGCAGGAGTGGATGGCGCTCGTAAAAAAACTAAGGTTATACTACTTATGTTTGCAGGACCGGGTGCCCCTCGTAAAAAACTAAGGTTATAGTACCTATGTTGGTAGGAGCGGGTGGGGCTTGTAAAAACACAGGTTATAGTACCTATGTTGGCAGGAGTGAGTGGCGCTCGTAAAAAAACTAAGGTTATAGTACCTATGTTGGGAGGAGCGGGTGGCGCTCATAAAAAAACTAAAGCGCTCGTAAAAAACTAAGGTTATAGTACCTATGTTGGCAGGAGCGGGTGGCGCTTGTAAAAAAACTAAAATATAGTACCTATGTTGGCAGGAGCGGGTGGCGCTCGTAAAAAATCTAAGGTTATAGTACCTATGTTGGGAGGAGCGGGTGGCCCTCATAAAAAAACTAAGGTTATAGTACCTATGTATAGTACCTATGTTGGGAGGAGCGGGTGGCCCTCATAAAAAAACTAAGGTTATAGTACCTATGTTGGCAGGAGCAGGTAGCGCTCGCAAAACAACCTTCTATCGGCCTTCAAGCTGGCAAACCAGCACGCGGTTAACTCCACTGGAGATGGAAGCTGAAGTGCATGACTGAAGTTGACCAGTCCTTTAGTGAGTCAAAGTCATTGTTTTTAGGTCAGAGTAGGGCCAGTCTAAGTGAGATAGGAGGTAGCGGGACGGGGTCGACTTACCGACTGACTGTTATACGCCCCCTCCGCCATGGATGACCACCCAATGTTATACGCCCCCTCCATCATGGATGACAACCCAATGTTTGCGTTTGTAGCCTTTTCCATTCTCCTACAGCCATTTGCTGCGTATTTTCTTCCTGTTGGGATTTGTGAGGATGAGTTGGTTCCAGGTGAAGACCCGTAGTGGGTGGAAGGTCTGTGCGTTCCGCGACCCAGGATATGAAGAGTTTATAGCGGAGGTGGAAGAGATGAAGAAGAAGAAGAAAGAAAAGAGGGAGGGAGAATGAGACGGAAGAAGAAGAAAACAAGACTGGTGAAGGAAGAGGAAGGAGAGCAGGAGGCGAAGAAGGAGATCGAGGAAAGTGAGGAAGGAAGCACTGGGACGATATAGCAGGGACCAGGATAGTAAACCGGCCGTTGGAGAAGTGAAAGCAAAGAAAATTGAGGTGGCGAAACAGAAAAAAATAGTCAAGATGTTAGCAGGCGAGCCCCGCCAAATGACTGACGATCCCCTGTGGCAGAAGATGCAGCAACCTCGGCAGTCGGCAAAATTGAATGCATGTAGAATCATCAACCACTTCTGCTGGAGCTGTGAGTGCGAGTAGTAGTACTCAGACAGAGGCGGCATCTCCTTCCCCCTCACAGGCCATTTGCGCAGAGGTTGAATCAGCCACGTGCTCAGATGGTAGGGTCTCTATGGGCTGATCCCTTGCAGGCTCTGTTGGGCTGAGATGAAGACAGAGACAGGACCGTTTGTTATGGCGGATGTTCAGGTTCGTAGAGGAAGGCTAGGTGCATTCGTAGATGGTGGTTCTACAAGGACTTATATTTCCAGTAGGGAAATCGAAAAGTTGCACCTAGGAATGAAGGTGCAAGATTTGGAAGAGCAAATCAAATGGTTTCTCAAATGGCAAACACTAGTTCAATCAGCATTACTCAATATGTAGAAAGAATAAAGGGATGCGTCTTGTTGAAGGGTGAAGAGAAGCCCGGAGAAGTACTGCACCCTCTGACCGGAAGAGAACTTGCCCTTTGACATGCTTCTGAGTGCAGATTGGGGAAAGGGGCAAAAACAGATCTAAAGTTGAGTGAATAGGAGTGTTGGTTAGCAACCCAGGAAGGAAGCAAGAAGAAAAACCTGCCTATACAATGAGACTGGACAAAGATCCTCCCTTTTCGTCTGTCGTATGAGTGCCGCAACATTTTCTAGACACCATAAAGAAACAATGGTAGATTAATTATTACACCTGAGCAGCGAGATAAAGCAAAGGAAGGAAGACCGGTTCTATCTGTTGAGGAGCTACCGCCCCACATTAAGAAACTGTTAAAGGAGTTTGCAGATCATGAGGAGGAACCCACGGGGGTGGTAGAAAGGGAGATCAAACATATCAAGATAGAACCGGGAAGTAGAACCCCAAAGGGCCCAGTGTATAAGATGCCATGAGAGAATTGGAGGAGCTGCGCAAACAGTTCGACGAATAGTGGACAAGGGGTTGATTAACCATCGTATGGTGCACCCATCTTGTTGATCATGACTCATGAAGAAGGAGTGAGAGAACTATGTCTATGCATTGACTATTCGGCTAGGTTGTTTTTCCGGGCGCCCGAGCACCCAACTTGTGCCCAGATACACGCCCAGGCCGGGCAGGGTTCCGGGCAGCCCCAGCGCAAAAAAAAAAAAAAAAAAAAAAAAAAGAAAGTCAAAAAAATCCAGGAAAAAAAAATGTTATGTAGAATTGCAATACAAACAACTTTTGGCTGAGGGTTACATCAAAATTCCTCACCGAATCGGAGATAAAAAAGAAAATAACAAAATCACACTAAGGGACCCCCCATTAAACCCCCTTAGCCCTTTTAAAAACAATTTATACCCCCCTTCCCCCCCCTTGACAGCCAACTCTCAAAAAATGAAAAGAGCCCGCATTTGGGGTCCTCTGGGAGAGTGCAGAAAGGCAAAAAAATATATTTATTTAAATTATTTTTATTTTATTTTTTTTGCATGCCCGGGTAACCCGGCCGTCACGCTCGGGTGGCCGGCCGGGCATGAAAATCTTCCTAGCTATTGGGGGGAACTATGTCTATGCATTGACTATAGGGGGTTGAATGCCATAACCATACTGATGACCTACTGGATAGACTGCAG